TTGTAGTTTGGCCACTTAGTCCCGAAACACCCTGTATATTATATGCGGTAAAGATGTTAAAGATTATGTTACATTCTAGAAAAATAATATGAGAAAGAAGCGATGTTTCAGTTTCCAGTCAACTGAAGTTGTCACTAAAGTTCTCATTTCAATGTTTCTTAGCGTTTGGTCATTAAAATAAAACTATTTTGTATGAGTCTTATAGAAAATTCAATCCTCTACATAATTCTGTATTATGCATTTTGTCCTAAAATAGTTTAAAGAAAGAATTCTTAGGGCGAAACCGCAGACCTAGATTTTTGTCGTTTCTAAAATGTTTACAAATTTTGACCTATCTTATCGATAGTAGATCAGCCTTATTTTCGGACAGGTTACGTATAAAATGTGAAGAAAATTTGTCTTTTAACAGTGGTAAATATTTGTGCCTAAAATGCCCTTTATGCGAGTTACTTAGGAAAAATCAAAAAACGTCATTTTTACTGGTGTTCTTTTTCAATATGGCAGAATCATAAAATAATGAAAACTGGGATTTTTAATGAGGAAAGAAGGGGGGAGGGGAAGAGGATTAGACTGGGACTCATGTATCTCACGTGGGCAACTGAAAAAAATTCTTGACTGGATATCTGGTCAAGATACGTGATACAATCAAAGTTCACCTGATGACATTGATGACATGAATCATGTTCTTGAGCTTTTGCCAAAAGTTTTCAATTAATCTTGTGAATCAGCGAAACAAAAGGCACGAATCGAACGATCATAAAGACAGTTCAAAGCAATGGAGGATTTCAATTAACAACGATGAAAAACTAGCAAATTTTACTTTAGAAAAAAAAGGTTCTTCAATTCTAAAGTTTCAGCTTAAAGTATTCAGTCGGTTATTTTAGTGACCCGAAACTAAAACCGAAAGGAAGGAGGATAAATAAAGTGAGAAAAGTTTGCAAATAAGTCAATAAAGAGAAGAAAGACTGTTAAGAGCTTAAGCCTAGTGGTTTACTAAGTCAAGAGGAGAAGGAGTTCTCAGTATCCCCTTTTTAGCGACCCTATAGGATGGTAGGGTCATTTAAAATTCGATTTGCCACCTTATTCTTTATTGAAAGGTGTTTTGACCAAGGAGGGTAGAATGATCTGTGGACTTTTAGATAATAACTGTTATCTGAAAATGAAGGATTATTCATATTAATATAATCGTTGTGGTTTTATTCAATCAAAGACTTTAACATAGAAATATCTTGAAACGCACCGATTCTCTGCACCGACAGATGAAGAAACGATATGCTAAATGTTTGGAAAACATCAAAATGCCACTCAGTGGTCCAAGGGCCAAAATAAGAAAAATTCAAATTCTGAAAGTTAGCATGAATTCATATGATTTTTATAAGCCTGACAATCCAAACTTTTAATTATAGAAATGGGCATAACTATGGGTTTTGACAATACCAGAACACGACTCAAAAAAAGGTGTGGATGATGGATCTACTTACATAAGTTTTTAAAAAAAATTAAGCCATGGATGGCCGTGTACTGCTTTTTTTTATCTTATGCCTATGGAGCCTCTTTTATTTTATTTTATGCTAACCATTTTTAGTTTGTGGTACAGGTATTTTTTATCAATTAATTAAAATCCGGCTGAAACTTCGTAAATAGCTTCATCTCATCGTATCCTACAGATATCTTATTTACAAAAATTCTCGGTATTGTAGCGTTTACAATCTGGATGTCGGTAAAGCTTGTCTATTTAATTAGGTAATAAAAACGCGTAAATGCCCATTTGCTTTCCACTTTAATCGTAAGATAACTTGAGCATAAAGTCGAGAAAAAAAAGATGGCCTTCAAAAATATTGAGCCGTTTGGCCTATATAATCTCCTTATTTTGACAATTGCAACTGATGCGGATTGAAAAATAAATGTACAAAAAATAAATATTAATCGCAACTTGGTTCTGTTTAATCTGAAAATTACACTGATAGAAACTTTGAGAATAAAACCACATATGGAAATAATAAATTAATTAATAACATAAGAAGAATATGGACAAAAATATTTCAGAAATTCGCAAGGACCATCTGAGTAAGTAGAGCGATAATGTCTAATCGAGAGTGATCGCTACTTAGAGATGAAACAATGTACCAAAGAACTCATTTAAAATGTTTCGAAATGATATTTCTTTATTTCGATTCGTATTTTTTTCCATTTTAAGCCAATCATTTAATTAATCATTGAAAATCGAATAAAGAGAATTATTTTGACTTCAATGATGGTTAGAAAAATATAAATTTAAGTAGTCAAAGTTAAACATTATAGTATTTTGAAACTGCTCTACTTTACAACTGAAGCGAGACAATTAAATGTACGCTTTTATCTTATAATTGAGAATAAATAATACCAATATAATAAAATAAAAAGATAAAGGGAATATTTTTCCTTAAAACTTCATTTTCAATACTGAGTACTTTAGGCTTAATGCAAATTAGGCTTATAATAAATTGTAATTTATAAACGCTTTTTTTTTCTCCTTCATTATTATCCTTTATTATTATTTCCTTTATAAATGAAGTACATTTTTATCTCTTTATTAATTTAATTTATAGTTTAATACGCCAACATGCAAAGAATATTATCTGCTGCAAAATATTGAACAGCGTGTTCTAGGGAAAATTACAATGCTTTGACAGGTGTTTTTAAGAATGGTTTAATTAGCAGTTAACAAACAAGTGTTTGTTAAACAAGTTGATACATAAGAGTCAACAAACTTACTGTACTAAGAATTTCAATCTAATAAGCAGCTACCAAAAGAAATATTTTTGCCTCAATTCGGATGATACTTTTAGAAAAACATGTAAGCCAAATTATAAATAACCGGTGATACGAGAGAGATCTCGTAATAGACACAAGATAAAAATAATGACCTTTTATTTCTAATCAATTTTCCAATTAGCATATTTAAACTGAATTAAACCTATGTAGTTTTCTATAGTATTTATATTTCCATATTTTCGAGTTTTATAATAATAATTTTTTTTATGTTACCAAAACCATCTTTTTAAAATTTTAATTAGAATAAATTCTTAACAGAGTGGAAGGACTTGATTTTTGTTTAACAATATAAAATTACATACTATTAGTTCTTAGTTCTTCGCCCCGCTCTATTGCCTTCAACGATTTTATATATACATGGTCTAAAAGCCTTAGTTTACCAACGATATCATTACGCATCATACCATAATTATTTTATACATTATGATATGATGTACCGCTCTTATTTTCGAAAATTTGTTTTAACCCTGGTATTTTTTTTTATCTTTAGTTAATTATAAAAATCTTCCCTTGTGTAAAATTTCAGTACTAACAATGAGAGACTGTAAATTATTTTAAATTCACGAAGTTAAAGATTGGACCTCAGGAAGCCCTCATCTCAAACCACTAGATTATCAGCTTTGGTCCGACGAATTGGAGAGGATGGCATGCCACAGAGCACACCCTAACTTGAAAAGCCTCAAACAATCTCTGGTCCGAGCAGTTGAGCGCTTTCCTCAAGATGTGCTGCGTGCTGCTATTGATGACTGGCCACGAAGATGAAATGCTTGTGTCAAGGCAAAAGGGAGGCATTTTGAGTAATTTGTTTTTTGTTTTACTCTCTATAGATGTACATTTTATTTTATGATAAAATTTTTGAAAAAAATAATTTTTCTGTTGAAATCTGTATATATTTTCTTGTAACAATATTTATGACAGGGCTAGGTATAAGTATAAAAAAATAATATAAGTAAAGATTCTGCTATATGTTAAGCATTAGTTAAATAGAAAATCAAAATTCTTATTTTGATTTCACTTTAACGTCTCTTATGTATATGAATATTTTTAGACGAAATAATTCTCATTTATCACCAAATATTTTGATTAGTTTTGTCCAGTTAATAAATAATAAATTGATATGTTTCAAACCACTAATTATTCTTGTAATAAAAATAACTCCGTTAAATCAAATTTAAACCACTTTCATCAAACGTCGTTGCTAAAGGAAGTTAATATAACAAAAATAAAATATCTTTGGTAATCAGGAAATAGATGATGGGCCATTCCATACCAAATAATCCAGGAAAAGTTCATGTTGACAACCAACCTCCTCAGATCTTAATGAAATTTGATAAATATTAAGTAAATACACAAATATAAAAAATATCAATTTTTACCCAATTCTAACGATTATTTTCAGAATTATTAGCATTTAAACTTTTGAGATATTTAAAATTGAGAAGACACTTTAAGCTCGAAACCAACATGTACCTGTTTGGTTTTCCTATGTAAAACAAACATTTATTGAATTAGAACTTTCTAAACGTATTCATGTGTTAAGAATTTAATGGAAGATGTCATAAGTTTTAGTATTATAATTTTCCGTCATGTATGAAAAATTCTTAAACATAAATTTCATTTGCTTATTTTTTAAATTTCGTTTGAACAGTAAAAGAAACATGGGCTCGGAAAAAAATAAGATATCTAAAATATCAAATAATAAAAGAAAGTTATTAAGTTATTAAGATGAAGTTGTAGAGAAGTACTTAATACGTATAAAAAACATCCTTAATATAAAAATGCCTAACTAAAAAAATCAAAACAGATAAATGGTTCAATGAGAATAAAACACAATTCCCAAATGTTGTGCATTGGTCACTAGAAAACAGTGATGGGCAAATGCTACTCTGAGTACTGAGTACCAAATATTTTACTCAAATTTTTGAGTACCAAAGTATTTATTTAATACTTCGTTTGATGTCAAAGGATTAACTGAAGTAGTGATTGAATTCCCAAAATAGTGATTCAATTTGAGTAAAATACTTGGTACTCGGTACTCAGAGAAGCATTTGCCCATCTCTGCTAGAAAGACAATATTCTTATGCTTAGTATTTCAGTGACTAAGATAATCTGGAAAAACATAAATGAAAAGAAAAATAGTTCAGAAGCTTTTAGTTTTATTTATAGTCAATTTGCCTTATACTTACAATTCTTTTGTTTTCAGCTTCTCTGAAATCGTTGGATTTTTCGTCTTGTGTTCCATTGTGAGTAGTACAACTCCTTGGCCAAGGGAAGGGTCTTCCATGATTAATTCTAAGTCTTTGAATTCATCTTCTACCTCGCCAAACGATTCGGAAGAGTTTGGTCGCTCTAAGTACTTACGCCTAAATGCTTGTGGGACAGGGAGGCGAACTCTTCCATGCGCGGGCGTCAATCGAACTCCAGACATACCCAAATCAAGCTGAAACAATAAAACGTAAAGTTTATAACCTTAAGGTATTAAGGTTAAAATAGACTGAAAAATATCAAGAAATGTTATAATCAATACTCTTACTCTTATGTTCTAAACTGACTTTTAAACAGTGATGCGACTGGGAAAGAAGCACCGGGATCTCTTGAGCCCTACTTTGCCATTTACATAAGAGCGGATAAGCATGGTTGAGAGTTCTTTAGACTGAATGTAAATATTGTCCATAGGAATCAATGTGGGACAAGTATTTTTTCTCTTTTTATTATCCTTTTAATGTATTTTTTGTTTAAAAGAATTTTATAACTTTGTAATTCTTTTATTATATATATATATATATATATATATATATATATATATATATATATATATATATATATATATATATATATATTTACTCACATGTTTTCTTCTTATTTTATTTTTTCTCAATTTGTATATAAATGTACACATAGAGCCGTAATACCCAATGCCCTTGATTGTATTGTATTATTATTCTTTCAATGAAAATTGATATGTTCTAAAATAAAATCAAGTTACGTAGTAATAGCGATGATGGTTAAAGAGATTATTTTTGTCTACCTTTTTTTTCTTTTCTTCCTTAGAACCATTTCTAGTGTGGAGGGACTTCGTTGATCCAACGCTACAAGGCATAAAGGTTTCCCAGAGCTGTTTAGCATGGACCGTAAATCTTTATAATAATAATAAATAATGGGTTAATATTTTGATGGCATTACAACCAAGCAATAGGAGTCTGTTTAATCCTTTACATCGTGCTATTATCTATAATATTTACCTCTATAACCCACTTGCCCCTAACTTGCCATACGTCATTGAGACCCGGTGTTTATTCGTACCGAATGAACATGATTCCGCTGGTCCTAGCGAATATACACCCATTGAAGTTGTCTCAATCCCTCTTAAGCAGTTACACAAGATTAATGCAAATCGCAGGAATGATATGATGGATCTGCATCATGTAAACCAGCGCACGTCCATCTATTCAGTGAATTGTTAAGGAACCTCGCTAATTTGGACCTCAAATCAGATAATGTTTCAAGTGGGAATAGGGAAAAAAAATATCCACGAATGTACATCTTGTCGCACGGAGAGAGATTGAGACGGTATGATGCTGTCGTCAAGTTTTCTGTTACAGTGTGATAAAAGAAAGAACGTTCAATGGGAGCAAATGAAGATGAATGTCAGACCTCAACACCAAACGGTATCTATATTATAGATGTCCAGATAGCCGGCGACAACCCAAGTATCAACCACTGCAACATCATTAAGGACAACTAATTAACGATCTCAACTGTATGATTGCAATCGGGCGTCCACTGGGTGTTGCAGTTTTGGATCAATAAAGTTCTTCACATCGCGATAACATGGAGAGTGGCATGGTACCAGGACATGGATATGTTGGACATCTTTATAAGGGCAATAGCGTGATTACCATGAGGGTCCTTAAAGGATCTTACATCAACTACAGTACTTGGTACTATCTCGTTTACAGTGACATCCACAATGATTTTTATCTTATCTTTTACTTTTTAAGTAAACAGTGGAATGTATATGTTTGCATTTACATTTTTCGCCTATTATTCATTATTGGATATTAAAGTTTATTTTTATCTTTATTAATTATCATTTTTTATTTCAATTCGCATTATTTTACGTATGAACCGCATAAGTTGTCTATGTATTTCGTTTTTTATAGCGCATGTTTTAACAATATTCTATAAACTGTTATATTACATGCTAAGCAGCAGTTATGATGGTATATGCACTATTCATAATGGATAAAACGATGCAAATTATTTCAAAATGGTTTATTATTTCCAAACAATTATACATTTAAAGTAACATTACCTTCCTAGTTACAAAGAAAAACAAATAAAAGGGGGTTCCAATTATTGGACTAAACTTTTTTTTGTAATCATTAGCAATATGCTAAAAAAAAACTAACATTACTTCAGTAACACGTTCAAAATTCTAAAACGAAAACAAAGGATATAACCTTTGCAATGTTAACAAACAATTTTATACTTTTTGAGTTATTCGGAATTTAATTTTACCATCCTTCGTAACTTTTTTCACAGCTTCTTTTCGTTGAATTATGTTATATAAATAAATTTAAAGGGCGTCGAGAGAATGACTTTAGCGAAGTTTCATTGAAATCGGTGCATTCGTTTAGGCGCTACAGTCTATAGCAACGCAGGTTTTTCGGCCGCCATTTTGAAAGTAATAGGTGGATAGTAATGCCGATGAAGAAGGATCATCCTCGAGTGACCTCTGATTTTATATCCAAATATGAAAAAAATCGGTCCAGTACTTTCGGAAAAAAATTTTAATCATTTTTCGAATTCTACATATTCTGAAACGTAAAACCTCAAATTTTGAGAGGAGATTAAGTTTTTGAACTTTTCGGTCGATCACGATGGTTAATTATTGAAAATAATAAACTAAAATTAATAACGTACATATTTTATTTTAAGTAATGTATATTTTATAGATGTTTATTTACGCAGCTGTTATGTTAGTAAACGCGCAGCACGGCGGACAGTGGTTGAAAGGCGGAAATAAACTATTTTTTTAACGTATTTAAAATTTTTTTTTCCGTCAATAAGAAATAGATTAGTTACACAAGGTATTTCACTAATTCAAACAATAAAATATTGATTTTTGACGTTGTATGAGCCTTCCAAATTCGAAGAAACAGGTATATAATTTTAAGTATATTGTTATGTGTTATATAAATTAAAGTATCTTCTCGTTATATTGTAGTCACTGAAAATATCAATTAAGTGTTTGAAAAAAAATCTTTAGGTTTTTATTTATTCGCATTAAAAACCAAAGCTCTATCGTATTTTTTTATATGATATATAAATTTTCAGATATTTGTATGTTATTTAAAATCTTCACCTTAGATTCAAATTATAAGTTAAAAAAATATATAAATGAACAAAAATTAAATTTAAAAAAATGTTTCTTCAGTCTATTTATTTAGCATAAACATGAGGAACTCCTTCGTATTGTTATCAGGTAGTATATGAGTTAGTAAATATTTACTTAATTCGAATTTGAAAAATAATTAGTTGTTAAAAAATACTTTCATGGAATGAGTTTTTGGTATTTGGTATCACGGAATAAAATCATAAAATGAAATCTCTCAACCTTCCATCTCCTCGGAAAATCATGCTATTGCTTTTATTTTTTTTTATAAAATTGATAAACAATTTAATTTTTTTTAAAGAATAGATACCTCATAAATTGATACTACTTTAACTGTAAAAACCTTTTAAATCACAGTACTATCTCGTTTATCAGTCCTAGTCAGAATCGAGAATCGATTGTTCACTATTTAATAGTCTTCACAAAGCAGTTAATTTTTTCATTTTGCTTTACCGATCCTAAGCGTTTCCCTCAATTATAATAAAAGTGCCGTCTTGGGTATTGAAAAAAGCAAAATACACAATTCCTCTTCTTTCATGCAATAGCAAGATATTCATTGCAAGTTATCTTGTTAATTTTCCCTTCATTAGTTTGCTATACCATTAATTCTCTTAATATGAGTACACAAGTAGATAAAAACTATCTAATTTTTTTAAAATAATTTAGTTAGCTGAAGTTATCTTATTCTGAGGGACCAAAAAGTTGATTTATCTCTTTTACACACGAAGAGCCGGTTAAACGGAGTTCTATTGTACCTATTTTGTAGAAACTTTAGTTGTAATTTTGATAGTATCATAATTATTCTTCTGTGACTTATAGATCAGTATTACTAGGTTTTTTTTTCTCGAAATTTTCAACCACAGTGCGGCGCAGTATTTTAGTATTATTTTTTTTATGAATCTTGGATTTCAGTCTCCAAGATATAATTTTAAGATGGTGAAGATAGAACCAAATAGAATTCAAACCTATTCATGCAATTAAATCCTCAAGTACCAAAAGATTTTTACGAACTACCGAATAAATAAACAATATATACATTTTTACTCGTTTCATAAGCAATTTTATGAGAAACAACTGTACCGGTTGTTCACAAGAACGGAAGAAATATATCCGTAATAAACTTTGAAAAAAAAAAAAGAAAGTTTTTCTGAGCATTATTATTATCATTATTTTATGATTGATCAGAGATTCCCGTCTAATTGAGGATAACCTTCGTTTAATTTTAGTTTTTACACGAATTTACTGATCGTGAGTCCGTTGTGTTACAAAAGTAAATCTTTTGCTTTTAAGAAGAATTTTATGCGAATGGGCTTCGGATCATTAAACGATATTTCTTAAGAAATTTAGTCGATATATATATATATATTAAATCACTACATGAAAATAAAAACCATAGAAGCAATCTAAACGTGCTTGGTTATGAGCAATATGTAAGGAAAAACATAGCTTTTCCAAAAAAATAATATTTATTTGGACAAATATTGATAAACAAACTTGATCTTACACTTTGCACTTAGTTGATGGAGAATTTCAGCATAAATATACATATTTGAGACCAGGATCGAAGCAATTCTTAAATATGAATTAATGTGCTTAACAACCTACAGTTGTTGACCATGCAACACCATGAAACATACACGTCTGCGATATGTACCTAAATGTTCCGTTATTTTTAAATGTATTTTTTCTTTAAAGTTTGACGTTTTTTTATGGACCCAAAATATGCATTTCGCTCGACATCATGAATTATCAGGAGCATGTTAGCTACCATTTAAAAGAGAAATCATTTTCGTTCTAATTAGTTCCACCTACAACACCTACCGTACTAATGGTATTCACAAAACTTACATACTTCATTTGATGAAATTGATCATTAATGAGATTAATTTAACTATTTGACATAAAATGCTATTCTGACAACTTTGTTGATGGGATAGAAACTTTTAATTCTTTTGTAAGTTTGTTGAACATCTTTTCAATATTAGAACGGGGTACAGACCTCTTTTTATCAAGTTATAACCAACCGTCTAAAACTGCGACAA